CCCACTCCCCCGGTGGACAGACAGACGGACGAGCAGACAGGCAGTCGGGCAGCTCTAAATAACAGGATCCGATCAGGAGGCCGGCAATGGGCACCGGCGCGGTGGCGAAGGGGTGGGGGAAAAGGGCTGAAGAAATTAAACGGCTGTTTATTACAGGTGGCTGCGCGGGAAGGCCTCCTTGGCGGGGGCGGCGGGGCGGGGCGTGGTGGCCGACCACCCTCCAGGGCAGCAGGAGCAGCGGCGCAGAGTTTAATTGCCGCCCCGCCCGGTATTCGATCCCGCGGCCCCAAACGTGTAACTCCATCCACACAGCAGACGGCCGTAGCATGACCCCGATCCGACACCGACACGACGGTCAAGACAAACAGACCAGAAAGGAGGAGCGGGGGGAGGGGTTGATGGTTTGTACACTGCAAACAGCAAAGTTTGTTACACACGCCGAGTGCCGAGTACCCTCCACCCCACCCCCTTCCCCTAGAACCTCCCCCTTCAACTAGCCCATGGGCGTACTTTTCCACAAGCCATTGTCCCCCCCGGAGCAAGGCACCCAAAAGTGATGTGTATTTTGCGTAGTGCTGTTTAGAACAGGCGGCCGGTCGTGTGCGACAGCCTGGGCAAGACGAGCGCACCCAACGAACGGCTCGGCTATGCGAGGGTGGGAGGGGCGGGTAGAAGGGTTAGGGGATGGATTCACGAGCGTGGGAAAACAATTTCCTCAAACCCATAACGCTCAGTCGGATTGAGCTGCTGTCAATCGTTCGATCAATCAGATTGGATTATTAGGCCAGATGCACACACGTTATTGTGCTTTGGGTGTAAAAAATCAGGAGCACCCGACTAACAACATAAAAAAGGTTAAAACAAAACTTCCTTTTGAGCGTGACTGAGATACTAGTTTACCCAAACTTTGACAGCACCTTATTGTTGAGTAGTGAAGGGAGAGGGGAAAGGGGGGGAGAGTATCTTGCACTATAGCCATCTACTGTTACCCGACCTGGACGCAAGAGGAGCCCTGGGGAGTCCTCGAGACACCCTTCAGCAGGTTCCCCAGGGATCTTCGAACCGCCGAACGAGGCCTGCTCTAAGAGAAGGGAGAGGTGGGGGAGGGG